AGGTCCCACTGTGGGTTTGGGACATCTCAGAGGATGGAGGTTGTCAACCAAGGGCAAGAGTGGGACATCTTGGGGCCAAGGGGCATCCTGGGGCAGGGCTGGGTCACCTCAGGGGTGGGAAGAGGGAGGCCATGAAGGGTTTGGGTCACCTCCCTGCTGACCTCCTGGCCCACAGATGGTGTGCAGAAGGAGCAGGTGAAGGCAACAGATCTCTCTGACATTGTCCCCGACACCGAGTCGGAGACCAAAGTCAGCATCCAAGGTGAGCACGCGGCACGGGGGACACCCCGGGGAGGAGCTGGGACACCCCTGGGGTGACATCTCCCCTTCTCCTGCTCCAGGCAACCCTGTGTCCATACTGGTGGAGAAGGCCGTCGACGGGGCCAAGCTGAAGGACCTGATCAGGGCTCCCTCAGGCTGTGGAGAGCAGATCATGATCGGCATGACACCCACGGTCATTTCCACCCACTACCTGGACACCACCATGCAGTGGGAGAGCCTCGGCCTCGACCGCAGGGCCGAGGCCATCGAGCTGATCAGGAAGGGTAGGGACATCTCCCAGGGGGTGGGAACATCTCCCAAGGGGTGGGAATGTCCCCAGAAGGGTGTTGGTGGCCTGACATTCCTTCGGCTTGGTTGGGTGTTCCTGTGTTGGTCAACACCCGGTGGCCTGAAGTCATCCCTGGGTGGTCCTTGTGTTGGCCAACATCTGGAAGGTATTGGTGGCCTGAAGCCACCCCTGGTGCTCCTCATGTTGGCCAACCACCATCTCCTCCCCAGGTTACACCCAAGTACTCGCCTACCGGAAACCTGACAAGTCCTTCGCTGCCTTCTTAAATCGTGCCTCGAGCACCTGGTGAGGGCCCTGCTGCCACCACCACCACCTGGGCCCAGGTGACAGAGCCAGACGTGACCACTCAGGTCCCCCTTGTCCCCAGGTTGACAGCCTACGTGTCAAAAGTCTTATCCATGGCCTTCAAGCTGATCGACGTCGACCCCGAGGTGGTCTGCGGTGCCGTGAAGTGGCTCATCCTCAACAAGCAGAAGCCAGATGGGATGTTCCAAGAGGATGGTCCTGTCATCCACGGGGAGATGGTGGTATGGTGGCACCCAAACCTGGTCCCTGCTGGTGGTCAAAGCCATCACATGGGACTGGTCATGGCCCTTCTGGCTGGAGGATGGATTTGGGGGGGAAGGAGACCCTGCTGGGGGTGGCTGAGTGTTGGGTGGGAGGAGCTTGCTGGGGACACCACGATCCCGAGGTTCTTCCCTCTGCTTTGCCCCCAGGGAGGTTATGCAGGAGCCGAGCCTGACGTGTCGCTCACAGCCTTCGTCCTCATCGCGCTGGAGGAGGCCAAGGACATCTGCAGGGGCCGTGTCAACGTGAGTGTCCCGTGGGCACCTCCAGCTGAGGTGCCAAACCCTCAGAGCAACCCCCAGAGACTCCAACCCGCTCATCCTTTCCACCCAGAGCTTGGACAGAAGCATTGACAAAGCTTCTGGGTACCTCATCCTACGCTACGAGCGCCTGGCACGGCCGTACACGGTGGCCTTGACCTCCTATGCCTTGGCCTTGACTGGAAAACTCAACAGCGAGAAGGTCCTCATGAAGGTCTCCAAAGGTAACACCTCAACCGCCTCGATGGGGGAAAGAGGTGGTGGAGGAGTTGGGAGGTGCTGAGTTGGGAAGTTGTACCCCCAGAGGGAAGGAGCTGGGAGGAACGCAACGCTCAGACCTACAACATCGAGGGCACGTCCTACGCGCTGCTGGCTCTGCTGCAGATGAAGAAGTCGGAGCTGACGGGGCCTGTGGCTCGGTGGCTTGCCCAGCAGAATATCTTCGGTGGGACCTATGGATCCACTCAGGTGGGCTATGAACCTGGGGACACCTCCAGACCCT